GGCCGAGTGCTGTGATGTGCCCAGTGTGGGTAGTCCGGGCACTCCAAGCCAGGACTGCTTTGCAAGCGGGGCACCCCTGAGAACTGTCTGTCCGGGGTGGGGGTCGGGACCCTTTAAGCACAGCCCTCGGCTAGCCTGAGACAGCATCTCCACGCTCTAAGTCCTCCTCTGATGCCCTGCTGGCACTGCTTCCGGCCATCCTTAACCCCGCTTCAGGGTCCACTTAATGTGGACGCGCTAGTTCGAATTAGCAAACGCTAATTCGAACTAGTTTTTTGTTCTAGATGCGTTAGTTCGAATTAGCTTAGTTCGAATTAACTAATTCGAACTAAGTTAGTTCGAATTAGTGCTGTAGTGTAGACATACCCTCTCTTGGGAGGCAGCATACTTAACTTCTGGGAGTATCCAAAGACAGGGACTGGACACTGCAGGGGAGACAGTTTTAGGGAGATCCAGGACTGGAGGGGCTCTTGATGTCACCTTGTAAGGAGTAACCAGGCCAGTGGATGCCAAAGTGAGGTAACTGTGCTGGGATCAGGCTGCTGGGATCAGGGGTTCAATCCAACACTACACAGCATAGAAGCATCCAGGATTAGAGGCATGACCTTTTTTAAACTGATATTTAGAAGTTAATAGCATAGTACTAGACTACCATAGGGTCAACTTTTGTTGAAAGCTCAGAGTGAAAAATACCTCTGATGTCTCTCTCTCTCACATTTACAGACTTCAGAAACAAAGTCCCAGGATAGTGACCACAGTCACAAATGCAAAATCTCATCTGTACTGTAAGTTTTATCAAAGCAATGAGTAAAGTTATAATTACCCATGCATGCATACATACAACCCCCCTGTAATAACTAAGCCTGTAGTCCTGTTCACATCCTCAACGATATATAGGATCTAATGCATCTCCCAACAGACCCATCAATACTAGGATGGTTCCTGCTAGTCTTCCCTTTTTACCCTGCCATTCTCTTTTATATTGTTTTGACCACGTCTAACACCTTATGCATATGCATAAAGGTTGAAATCCTCCTTTTCTTCTCTGTCGTTCCTCATGCCACGAATATTTGGGTGACATGTTTTTCATAGTTTGGTTCTTAGTTTCTCTTATTCTCATTACCATCCCCATACAATGTGAACTCTGAGGTCAGAACAGGTCATTTCATAATGTTACAATCTGATGTCTCCTGATCTTATGCAATACATTCCAGTTTATTTCAGTCTAGTTTTCTGCAATGTTACCTATTGACACATCATTTACAGTAATCTTATGTCATAGGATTAGTCCGAGATCACTCACTCAGATCAAGTGTTCGTAAACCTATGACCTAATCTGGCTAAGTTAAACCTTACAGGCCTCAGCACGTAGGCCTTGCATTCCAGGCATGCTTTACTTAATACCTAATATACACTCAGCACCCTTGAATACAGGTTGAACCTCTGCAAACCAGAACTCGCTTGTCTGGCAAATCTGTGGTCCTTCCAGGACCCGAGAGTTCCAGTGGAGCACCAGTGGCTGGGCTTCCCACAGGTGAGTTGCCTGACAGGGCTGTAGCCTGGCACTAAGGCTGTGGGACCAGGAGCCTGGTGCATGCCCGGTGTGACTGGGAGCCCAGTGTGCCCCAGCAGGGCTTCTCGGAGCTGAGAGCCCAGCATGCTTGTAGCTGGGCTGCCCGGCTTAGCAGGGAAGTGTGGGGGACTGGCAAGGCAGTGTGGCTAGGGTCATCGGGGGAGCCATATGGGAGATAAGTGAGCAGTCCAGGGCTGGGGGCAGTGGCAGGGGAACCAGATATAACCTCCCTTGGTCCAGCAAAATCCCTCATCCAGGACCAGTCAGGTCCCGAGGGTGTCAGACTAGGGAGGTTCAACCTGTACCTGTCAATTTTATACTTCTATAACCTGTAATCTATTTATCATACATTGATTTTATGTAGCTTGCATTTGAATTGACCTCAACACCACATCATACAATGATAAATGGTTGATAAAATGAACTATTTGGCTACACAGAACAGTTATAAATGATGCCCGTAATTTGCTCTCCTGCTGGTGCAACCCTATTGAAATAATTGAATCTCCAATATAAGTTAAATGAGGGCAGAAACTTAGCCTGTTGTATTTGAAATGGAAAAAGGGAACAATTGCAAAGTGAGTAACTGTTTAACA